GCTGATTTCCGCTTCATGCACATGCACCTGCACCAGCCAGAGGGACGCCGCGCCAAGCGCATCATGAAGCAACTCTTTGGTCACGTGCAGCGTTGGAAGTAGGCAGCAGCATGCCCTCGAGACTTTCATCCTAGACGGAAGGTAACTTGCCCTTACTTTTACTCTTCCACTTGCACATCCTACTGCTCGAAAAATCAGTGTCATGAATTGAGTGCACGTGGTGGAGCTATCGTGTTCGTCATGCGGAATCCTGTCGCAGGAAAGGTGATCGATCACCTTCGATTTTGCCCGTCTAGCAACCCACCGCGAAGAAAAGTGTGGCAATGTGATTCAAAGGTATGGCGTCAACCATTCTCCCCTCCCTCCCTCCTCTTCTCTTCCCCGAAACTCGTCTCGTGCAAGATTGGATTGGCTCAAAGCGGTGACAAATGCGACAAAGTCTTGTCCCTTGCGCTGCGCGCTGCTTCAGCTTCAGATGCAACGAACCCGGTCAATGAACTCCTTGGGGGAGATGACAAATTGATCGATGGCTACGTAAGTGCAGATTTCCACTCACAAGTGCTTTCCGCGGACTTGTCCCTTGAGCATGAAAGAAGTTTGAGTTCAAATTGTGCGTTCAAATTGTGGACAACAAAGAATCAAGACTGTTGCGGGCTTGAATGGGCCTAGACGCGGGCGTCAAATGACGACGTCGTGGGCTTCTTTGATTGCATTCAGAGTGGCGATTGAACTCTGGTGGCGAGACTGGGGCGCGTGCAAGTGGGTCAAAGGCTCGCTGGAAACGTGCACTTTGGATTATGAGGACTGTGAGCCGAGAGTGAGAGTCACGAGTGATCAAAGGCTTGACTGCCAACCGCGGTGACGATGATGCAACTATCCGATCGGCGGGGGGGGCAGATCTGAACCGAGTTTCTGCGTGAACCTTTCATGGAGAATCGCATTCGCGTCAAAGTTTACGAGGCAGTCTTTTGAGGGTTGTACCGGTAAGGAAGCCAGGCATTCTAAATTGCATTCGCACAAG